CTTTCTCTTTTCCCATCTCTTTCTCCTCCCCCCCTCCACACACACACACTCCTATCCCTTTGGATAGGCAAAAAAAAAAAAAAACCTGTGGCAAAAAAAATATTTTCTGAAGGCCACATTTGGAAGCATGCGGTAAGGATTATAAATGCAGCAGCTGATAGCCTTGTATCTCCCCAGGAGTGAAAGACCAAGAACGTCCTGCTGTATCAGTGAGAAATGCGCCAGACTCAGAGTCTCCGTTTTCCACTTAAAAGTTGCCATATCAGGTCTTTAAGCATAAATTCAAACTGAGGATCTCGGCAAGTCGATCCCACAAGTTCCCCTCAAAATCGAGAACTGCTTGACCAGGCTTCGAATTCTCTACATGACACCGTTGCACAGGAAGATCCTGCCCTTCAGGCCCAAATTAGCGTGCCCCAATAACACATGATGGTTCATCAGGGATTGATAAGCGGCGTGAAACGATGGCTGGTGTCTACACTGATCAAGAGCACTAATGAAACACATGTTTCTTTAAACCACACCAAGGGACCTGAATCTCGAAATGCGGACATATCCAAAGTTAGATTTTCCTTGACCTTAACAAAATAGCGGATCAAACGCGTCCTTCGCTCATTCTCCCGGCCCTGTGCTGATTTTTCTCGCGGTGAGAGATTTTCTGCCTTCAGAAATACGTTCCGTCATATCACCGTTGCGTTTTATCTTTCCTTCCCCCAATTCAGGACAAAGGCAATAACGGTTTCTATGAGAACCGAGGATGAGTTGGATTTAGACAAAAGATAAATAGCTGATTGGAAGCCTCCTCTGGACTTTATTTTTTCATGAAACAGGGGAAAAAAAATGTGCTTCTGATTTAATCCAAGATAGATTACAGAAAGAAGATAGCCGTGATGCAACTTTAAAGAAAGAGGTAAATTGTCCTTAAAACTGCTGTAAGGAAGATCAAAAGCTACTTCTTCACGTCATTTTCTTTCCCTTCTATTTTCCTTTTATCTTATTTTTCTTTCTTTCTTGCACTTTTAGCCCCTAGTTTCTCTTTTTTTTATTCCTTCCTCTGTATTAGTTTGTATTTGCTTTCACCTTCGTTTTTAAAGTTTTAAATAAAATTATACACAATGTGTAAAAATTAAAAGAATTAAAGGATGCAATGGACTGCCATATTCAAACTACACCCTGAATGTGAATAAATCTTGGATTCAAATTACTGTGTGACTCGATTCAATGGACAATATGATCTTATTTCAAACCTCCCACCACCAAGGCAGAAGAGTTAGATACATGGACATGAAAAACCATGCTTTACTTATTTATTTATTCATTTTATTTATTTAGACCTCACCTTTATTGTTTTTTAATAAATAATTAAAGGAGGTGAGCATATCTGATACTCTTTCCTCCTCTCATTTTTTCCCTACTACAACAACCTTGTGAGGTGAGACGGGCTGAGATTGTGTGACTGGCCCAAGGTCACCCAGCCAGCTTTCATGCCCAAGGTGAGACTAGAACTCACGGTCTCTCAGTTTCTAGCCTGCTGTCTTCACCACTGGGCCAAATCAGCTGTCCACGATATGGGGAAGACTGGTCTGCTCTCAGGATTTTGTCTCCCCACCCAACACAAATCCCCATGAGGGAAACTTGGTGGCTAAATCATCTGATCTTCTCTATCTACTGTCGCCCAGAAGAAGAAGAAGAAAAAATCAAATCATCTTCACTCTGATCAGCCTCAACTGGCTGCTCAGGAGGAAGAAAAACACAGAAACGTGGTTGTAGGAATAAGCGGTCACTGGGGTTTAAAATCAATGCAAACCGGAAATTACAAAACTGAGATAAGTTTTCTCCTGACCCCATGAAGGAAGGGAGGAAAACAAAAACCCTTTGAGAGGACAGTTGTGCAACTGAACACTTTTGGCAACAAAAAAAAGGTTGAGATTTCCACTCTTTTAGTGGTGCAGATTTTGTCCCCTTTCCTGCCAGGGGGAGGTGTAAAGAAAAAGCTGTTAGAATCCAATGGGCTGGGCTTTTTTTTTAAAGTCAATAAATGCCAAGATTGATTTTAAAAACATAGATCAAGTTCTTTGCTACCCAACGCCCTCCCCCTTGTTGGACACACCTGTGCCCTTACCTGGATTCAAGAGAAACCAGGAAGATGTTTGCATACAGTACATCCCAAATGCCAGAGTGATTCCCTCCAGGCAGAGCACAACAAAAGCTTTCCACCTATCCAGTTTGACAGTGTCCTCCAGGTGGTAGAGATGACCGCCTGGGACTTGCCTGCTTCCGACACCAACCCTCTGCACACAAAGCACACACACAAACACACCGCTCCTGAAGCATCTCTGCTCCAAGCTCAAAAGAGACCCCGCGTACAACGCTAGAATTGCCGTTCAGAAGGAAGCAGAGGATCAAAACCAGGGACCCCGTCATTCCAGAACTCCTGTCCCATGAAGGCATTCAGCCCTTTCTTCCAAAGGTTCTGCGGTTGCTGGGATGGTGGGGGAAGAAGACTTACATATCCACGTCCTCCGGGGAAGAGCAAAGCAGAAAGGGGAAGAGAGAGAGAGAGAGAGAGAGGAGTCAGGATCCAGCTGTGGTATTTCCTTTGTTCCACTCTATGGACAGAGTGAAAACACTGAAGTCTTCCAGGCGTTCTTGCTCCAGAGCGCCCATCAACCCCACCTCCTTGCCTTCGCCATGGAAACCGGCCAAAGCCACGTGATTTAAGACAGGAAATTAAGGAGAAGCGCCTCCTTCCCACATCTCCCACTTCCCATCCATCCGTCCCGGATAGAAAAGAGAAGAGGGCCCGGAGGCGTCTGTCACACCACATGGAACGTTAACAAAGGAAAGCTGCTTAAAGGAAGATCGCTTGAGATTGTCCAACTATCTGCACCAACATTGGGCTAGCACAATGGAAGAACAAGGATGGACACACCCGTCCCATTGAATTTCAGGCACCCTGGTAGCCTTTGCTGGAGGATCAGCTTTAACTAGCTTGGAAGACACAAAGGAGAGGGAAATTGGCATTTTTATCATGGCATAAGAATTTGCGTAGCATCAGCATGGACGGGGACGATAAGTTAGGATCGAATTCTGTCTCCAGGAAATAATTTATCTTCCTTCTCCAATTGGCTCAAATCTCCCAGGTGAAATTTGGGGTGGGATACGTAGGTGCGTCATCCCATATTCACTGGGCTCATTTCGTAAAAGCGCCAAACATTTCCACCCTTCAATCAATCTCTTGCAGGGCCACTGCTGATTTGTTCTGGTGCTCTGATCGTAGTGGGTACGAATTCAGGGGCTTGCTCTGGGTTGCTGAATTTGGGCTGGTTTTTTTTTTTTTTTAAATGTGCCTGTGACCCCAAAAGTTTGTCCATCCTGACTTAGAGCAAAACCCATAAAATTCTCATGGGATAACTTTATACACAACTGCAAGACTTTTATTGTGAGTTATTACAAAGTGGGAGAGATGGAAATGTTTACTCCTCCGTTTTTTATTTATTTATTATTCTGCTTTCAAGCGACGACTCCCAGCTGGAATTTTACTCCTATCAGGGTACTATACAGAGGGAGTCCTCGGCCTTACAACCACATTTGAGCGCAGGTTTTATGGGGCTAAGTGAGACATTTGTTAAGTGAGTTTCGCCCCGTTTTACGGCTTTTCTTGCCACCGTTGTTAAATGAATCGTTGCAATTGTTCAGCTTGTAACACCATTGTTAAGTGAATCCAGTTTCCCCATTGGCTTTGCTTGTCAGAAGGTCGCAAAAGGGGATCACTTTTGTGACCTCGGGGGACACTGCAATCATCGTAAAATATAAACCACTTGCCAAGCGCCTGAGCTTTGATCACATGACTGTGGGGATGCTGCCATGCCCGTGTGAACAATGGTCATAAGTCACTTTTTTCAGTGCCATTCTAATTTCGAATGGCCACTAAACGAACGGTTGTAAGTCGAGAACTACCTGTATTCTCTTAAAAATGCAGCGGGAAGAAAAGCCGAAAGGAAAGGTACCAGCAACCAATTCAAGGACACTCAATGGAGAGAAGAGTCAAGAGGAAAAGACCAGAACACAATCAACACTTGCCAGTTACAAACACAAAACTGAACCGAGGCCAAGGATTAGGCAATGGGCAGCCTCCAAGTGACTTGTGCATGGCTGGCCGATGACAAGTTGGCTTCCAAATCGAGGCCCCGGGGCAAGCCTGGCCAATGAACACTAGATCGTTAACTTGTGAATAAAAATAAGCATGCACCCACTTCTCTCTCAACGACACACATGCAGACTTAGCAACCCAAAGCAGAAAGTAAACAGTCATAAAAAGATTCTCATATGAACAGGAAGAGAACTTTCTCTCTCTACCTCCTATCTCATTTATCTCTATATCAATCTATTATCTATCATCATCATCATCATCTTTTAACAACCCTATAATTCCTTGCAGGGTGGAGTCTGGACAACTGAATGGAGCTAGCAGTTTAATGGCTGGATGCCCTTCCTGTCACCAATGTGAAGCAGATATATTGTTATTGTGCCCAGAGGGAGAAATATCTGCCTTTACCTCGGATTGAACTCACAATATTAATCCACATAAACCCTTGCGGGGTGGAGTCTGGACTACTGAATGGAGCTAGCAGTGTTTTAATGGCCGGATGCTCTTTCTGCCACCAATGCGGAGTCTGTCTGTCTGTCTGTCTGTCTCTCATCTATCGATAGATAATCTATCTTCTATCATCTGTCATCTATCGATAGATAATCTATCTTCTATCTTCTATCCCTATTATTTCTATTCTCCATATATCATCATTGCATTCATTTCTCTCTCTTTCTCTTTCCCTTTCCCCCTCCCCTCTTGGAACTGCAGAAAGATAAACAGGGTGCTTCAACAACCTGCTGCCCAAATTTCTAGACACAACTGCTGAACATATTTCTGAAGGCGTAGTCCACCCACACTGTTCCTGAGTTACACATGCCTAGCAGCTGGAAGTCATGGGCATCAGTAAAGCATCATTAAGAAAGCTTCCTTATGTGCAATTAGCAGCATCTTTAACAACCTAGAAATAGGGATACACTGTTCCAGGACCTCATTTAGCCGGAAGAAGGATGCTAACTTTTGGTAAGGTATAACAACCGAAGCATCTTCCTCCACTACCAAGAACAAAGCAGAGTCCATAATAAATGCAGGGACTGCTTATTTTCATATTCCAAGTTGCAAGCAGCAGAAAGGGCTCATCTTCCTGAAAGACAACACCAAGAATTGATAACCCAGGACTTAAGGTGTGATGGCTCTTCTTGCTACCCTCTGTTGATCCCTACAAGATTTGGAGTACCAACACCAAGAGATTTCAGCATTCTTGTTCAAGATCTCCGAGACGAGACTCTCAATTTCTTTCACAGAGTTTTATGATCTCACTAAGGGTTTCAGTCACTGGGGAGTGCACCTGAAAATGCAGTAGCCAAAAAGTCCCAGGTGACATAAAATGGTTTCCTGCAAAATGTCAACAACAATACTACCACTATTAATTTTAATTTTAAAGTTATTATAGGTCCATGTTGACATGCACACATGTACCACTGTCTGAAGGACTAGGGGTGATGTGATAGCAATCTTCTTGTCAGGATTCCAGCAACTGCCCTAATTAAATCATGATTCTTGAGCCAAAGTTCAAAAAACTTCAAAGGATTTATTAGAGGTGACATACTGGCACTGCCCTGTATGAAGCCAACTCTGGCATACGTAATTTACAGTCACCTGTGACCCTGTTTCCCTCCTCCTTCCCCCGGGTGTGTCATCAATCAGATTTCCCAATTGAGCACATTCACAGGCTGAGTGTCATCAATCACGTTCTCCAATTAAATATATTCATGGGCAAAAGCTCTGGTATTTTAGTTACAAGCTTTTAAAGATAAGAGTTGGAATGTACTTTCCCTTTGCTGCACTGCTCTTCCAGATTTCCTCCCCCCCTCTTTTTATGGCAACTACTAAAACAGGCATAGGAATGTTTTATGTGTTGACACTTTTAATATTTGAGAGGCTGCCACAAAGAAGAGGGAGTCAAGCTATTCTCCAAAGCACTTGAGGGAAACAATAAGTGGAAGCTTAACAAAGAGAGATCCAACCTAAAATTAAGATGAAATTTCCTGACAGTGGGAACGATTCATCAGTGGAATGCCTTGCCTCTAGAAGTTGTGGGTACTCCATCAAGGGAGGTTTGTAAGAAAATATCAGACAGCCATTTGTCCAGAATGGTATAGGACAGTGGTGGCTAACCTTTTTGTGCCAAAAATTGTGCACATGCTTGCACGCTTGTGCTCACATGCCAGCACCCAGAAGGCAATGCACTCCCCCCACGGCCCCTATGCCTGCACACGCAATCCCACCCACCCACCCCCCGCCGCCCCCTGCCTTGCGACTCACAG